CCTCGGGTGCCCATGGGGCTCGGGGGGCCGGACCGGTGACGCCGGACGCCCATGGACGCCCCGGAGGAGCCGCTGCCGCCGGTGGTCTACACCATGGAGAACAAGCCCATCGTCACCTGTGAGTGCCGGCGGGGAGGGGGCGCGCCTCGGCCCGGTCCCGTCTCCGCCCCGCACCCCGCGCCCCGCACAATGCGACCGCCCCCTGCGCTCCCGGCCTCCGCTTCCCGGAGGTGTGGCCGGCGGCGGCCCGGCCTTACCGGACGACCTCTGACCCCGCTGTGGTGACCTCCGACCCCTAAGCGCTTCTGCGCCGCGGTCGTTTCGGCTGCGGTGGCACCGCCACTCCGCCCGGGACGGGGCTAGGAGCGGGGCCGCGCCGTATGGCCCGGGCACCTGCTCCGTGCAGCCTCGGGGCGCGTGTGACTCCTGCACGGCGCCGGGGTCCGGTTCAGCCTGTCCCGCTCCGAGCAGCGCGTGCAGCCGTCCTAGCCTGCTGCCTGCTGCAGAGTCGTGGCGGGAGGCCCGTCGCTGGGGGTCGGGTGCCGAGGCGGCGCCGGCACAGGGTGCTTTTCTGCAGCCAGACCGGCGGGTGCCCCGGGCGTGTCCCGCCGTGTGCCGCCGGGCTCCGGGCGGGCGCCGGGCTCCCCAGCGAAGCCGGGCTCGCGGTCGGGCCCCCGCCCCGGGCAGGCCGCGCTGTGGACAGACGGACCGCTGCCTCTCCCTGTCGGTTCTTCCCTGCCTTTGGTGTCCACAGGAAGAAACTGCTTTCCTGTTGCAGAGAAAATGTTCTCAGATTTTCGAAGTGTAACTTTAAATGACATACTTTCAAAAGCTGAGCTTATGGGAAGTATTGAAATGTCTGCTGACATTTCGGTGACTAGCAGAGCAATGTTTCAAACTACGGGTATTGGGGTTTTTGGCTGTTGATAGCATTCTGCACTTCAGTGGCTTTGTGCATTTACTTTTTTGGAGTTGTCTTCCGTGCTGTGAACGGAAGCGCTGTGTATTGCAAAACCTGGTGCCTACGGCCGTGAGACTCTCCTGTAGGTGCCCGGCACTGCTCTGCCTGCCGCTTTCCGCCTCCCGACTCGCTGCATGCTCCTGTAAGCTTTCTCCAGTCTCGGAGCAGTTCTACGTTTAAAGTTCATTTGTTGCTTCATCTTTAGGTAAGGGGTTTTCTCACAGAAGTGGGCAGTCTGATTTAAAGTTGGGAGACTTGCATGGTTGAGCAGTGGCAGTTTTTTTCCTCCCCAGAATATTTGTCAGCTTGCGGACTCTGCACCTTCAGTTTAGACCTGGTCTGGAGGCCCTGCCACTCCCTGGTGCTGCCTGACTGACTCCTCAGGGAATTCAGAGTTGGGTTTCAGGGTCTTCCAAGTCTTGAAAATTCTTCCGTCGAAGGCTAGGCACAGTATGAGTGCTGGGTTAGGGTTAGGAATATCCGCATACGTGATTGCATTTCCTGTCCTTTAGTTTAGGAAGACATTTGCACCCTGTAAATATGCACCCGAAGAGGATACACCTAAGCTCTGCTGGATTCGGCAGTAACTGAGGGGATAGAACTTACTGCCCTGGTAGCCCGTCTGCGTCGCGCTCATGTTCAGTCTGCGTCTGCGCGCAGGACAGGCACAGGCTCCTTTCCTGCCAGCTTGTTGGGTGTTGCATATTGGTGGAGGTTTTCTGTTGTGCTTGAAGTGGTAGCATGAGGAAGTGTTCTGCCCATGGTGTCTGTCTCTGGAGAACCTTTCGGTCACAGGAGTTTTAGAAAAGAAAGTAGCTTTAGTAAACTTTCAGAGAAAGTTCACTTGAAAAGTGGAGAAAAAAAGCCAAAAGCAAAAAACCTCATTAAAAGCAAAATTTTTTTTAACATTTTGAAATCCCATTTTTGCATATCTGGGGCTAGAATTCTGGTAGGCACTCGGCCTGTCTTCCATCTTCAGCTGGGGATGTTTTGAAGGAGGAGCAGGTACAGGGTATAAACAGTGCAGAGAATGGTGGGAGGAAAATGCGTGAACAGGCCACCAAGGGGCCACTTTACTCTTCACAGTTTTTAAATATTTTGTGTGTATTTCTCTGAGTATGCAACACTTTTGTTCTCAAAAGCCCATTTGCCTCTCATCTGCAGTGTTCTTGCTTGTGATCCCCTTGAATAAGTATGGAATAAGCTGCTGACCTCTTAAGAGGTCTGTGTTACAAAAGGAAAACAGTTTATGCTTGTTAATCAGTTTTTTTTTCATAGAATCAGAAAATTTTACTCTAGTGAAAATGAATTGGACTTAGAAGTATTCATTTTACTTTAGTGAAAATGAATTGTGCTCTTTGAGAAATTCATGGAATGTAATTGGTGCGGGTAAATTTAGGAACATGTACTAACCTAGTGAGGTGCACGTGTGACGGGAAGAACGAGAATGAGGAGCTCCCTGCGTTTAGGGGTACATAGAATTAGTCCCTGAGAACCTTGCTGAGTTAGTTTATATTTTTTGAGTTATTTTGAAGTTGTCTAAAAGTTTTAGTATGTTTTAACTCATAAGTAGATTTCTGACTTCTTAGCTAATGGGTTCTGGTGAAGAGGCCCTATTTCAGTAGGGGATCTGCTTAAACCAAGACTAGTTTGAGATTGTAAATATTGAAGAATGTCAAATGCACAGGAATGACGGTGGAACAGTTAGTGAAACTATTCTGCATCCCTCATCGTAGCAGTTTGAATGCCTATCATATGCTTTATTAATGTGGAAAATGCTAGGTGAAACTGAAACACATCCAGCCAATTTATTTGCTCTAAATTGAAGTTTTAGCTTTGACCCCCTCCTTGTCATCAGGTCTCTGTTTCAGAATAAAGACTTAGGTTTCTGACCCATGATGCATTCGGAAAGATGTGTTCCTTCTCTGGATGTCTCACTCAAGGAACAAAATTAGTGCTGTTCTACTGATTTGTGGCTTTTCTTGTTGAGTGGTGTGACACGATAACACCCCCACTACCAACTGGAACTATACCCAGTGTCCACCTTGTCTGGGTGATCTCTTCACTAGTCACATCTTAGATTCATTGCTTCCTTTTGGTGAGCCTCTGGGCTTGGGGTTCCAGATCCGAATTTATAAACTGTGAAAGGAGGAAAGGGCCCCAGACCAGAGCAGAACTGTGCCTAGTTGGAGTTGGGGTTTCCCCACAGGGTAAAGTTTTCAAAGTGCACATTGTAATTTCACACCAAATGTGGAACTGTGGTGGTTTCCACTTAAGCATTGCCAGTCCGGTTTCTAGCGAGTGCCTTTGAATGTGTGTGTTTTTATGTTGGTAAGTCTAAGTGGGCCGAGTGCGACCCTATGAAGTGGGTGAGTCCTTTCTTCTTGGAAACCTCGGTTGGTGCTGGGGTGTTTGGAGGGTGGGAAGAAGGGGTGTCACCGGCTGTACCTGCTTCACTTTGGAGGTGTCTGCGCTGTGTGGCCTGGGTAGGGGCGGGTGTGTCCTGAGGTTGATCTCTTTGCACCTCATCTGTGAACTGGTGGTCAGGTTGCCAGTGGGGTTGGGATGATGACTGTGTGTGAGCACTCAGGAGAGGGGCGGGAATGTAGGAAATGCAAAAGAAAGCTACTGAGAAGGGTCCTGCGTTTTTCAAGCTCACACTCACTGTCTCTCAGAGCCCCTCTAGGCTAAAGGAAGGCCCAACTATTACATTTACTAAGAAGTTAGGTCCCAGTAAGTTATTAAGGCCTGAAAGTCTCAAAGGTTTTTTTTTGTTTGTTTATTTGTTTTATTTTGTTTTTGTCTTTTTGAGATGGCGTCCCCCTATGCAGTTCAGCCTGGCCTTGAGCTTACTTTGTAGTCTTGAACTGGTTGGTCTTGAACTGGCAATGATCCTGTCAGGAGGGTTTTGGACTGGGGAAGTTTTTGCTGTTGACAGTGTCTTCCCACAAGGCGCATGTTTAGGGGGAGTGTGTGACCTCAGGAGGGGTCACATGCTGACCTCTGACAGCCCTGCTCTCCCTCCAGGTGTTCCTGCATTGGCATGCCCCCAGACCTTCCTTTCCTCCTTCTGTGTCCCCACCTTTCCTTCTCTCTCCTCTCCCCCAGTCACATTTTGTTGGTGTTTGTCCATAATATGAATTGTAAATCTAGCCTATCGCTTTGGTCTTAGTATTTGTGTTTACACATTGCTGACCTTGGAGACACTTGTGTCTCCTCTTTGTCCTCTTATACCTGCCCTGCCCTCTGTCAGCAAGGATTATTATGTAGATCTCCGGAAACACATCTACAGTTCCTGTGAAGGTGTTCCCCACCTTTCCTACCCTACTCTGTCCCTGGGCTCATTGCAGTGGCCTCCCTGCTGGCTTCCTTTAAAGGAGAAGGCATGGTGGGTCCTGTGCCCTGCCAGGGCTTGCCGCTATTCTCAGGACTACACTCAGTGCTAGAGCAGTGTATGGTGTCCTTGCACCCATACCTGTGTCCCTCTGGTTCCCTGGCTTGGGCATCTGCTGACCTCCTGGGCACAGTGGTTCCCTGCCAGCTACCTCCACGCCCCATGAAGTTTGGGATCCTTTGACTTCCTCCATTCTTGGCTGGGCATTCCTTGACATAAATACCTGTTGTCTTTGGTTATTGTCACTTTCCACCAGGTTGGAATGCGAGTTCCACCACTGCAGGGACGCTATTTTGTTCACTGCTGCGTTCCTAGGACCTTGTGCATAGGACTGCTTGGCACACAGTAGGTGCTGAGTAAGTATTTACTGAATGAAAAAACAAGTGTGACGTCTCTAAGGAAAAATCTGCTGTATGTCATTTTATCCTGTCAGGTGGTAGAGTCTCTGGATGCTGTGAAGTTATTTTCTTTAACTACAGTAAGAGCTCTGTAGAAAAGGCTTGGAGGGTTTGAATCCTGCCCATTCTGACTTGTTTTTGGGTAAACTCTACACCCTTGCTTGTTTGACATGGGCACATTTGCTGCTTGGACTTTTTAAATGAAGGACTAGTGTCAGTCTGGTAAACAAGACAAAGCCGACCGGTGTGCAGGGGCTTACTTCAGAGCTCTCTGGAGCTCTGTGCAGTATGTGTTCTGCCCTGCAAGCTGGTAGCTGTTTAACTTCACGGCCGAACCAAAGTGCCCTTGGGTCATGCACAGGCTA